ATGGAGGCCAAATCAACCCTCAACACACAAGCCTTATCCAGACCAAACTGCTTTCCTTATTAAAAGCAGTGATGCGTAGGGAAACAGACAGTCATATGGAGCGGTGAAAGGCACATTTGATGATATGTTTGATATATTCTTCCAACAGCTTGATATAATCCTGCTTAACGTGTCAATACCCCACTGCCTCATTCACTTATTGTGGGGCTTTCTCCTTTGATCTTCTTAGACAAGGATAAAAGAGACTTTGATGCTATGTTTACAAAAATCTGCAACGCTGGCAATGTGGTTGTGGAATTACCCAAACTCGTTGAAACCCTTTTCTCTGCACCCTCAAAGCACACAAATTGATGCATCTTTTAATTTGCTTTATGTAGAATTGTATATAGACACCTATATTTTAGTTTAGGACAAATTATCCCTTTGACCCTTGAACTTTTAGTTTAGGTAAAATTAAACCCTCTAACTATTTGTAGTCAACTTTTAACCTTCGAACTTGTAAAATTGGAAACTCGTGGCCTTTTGGCTAGTTTATCCGATTTTGCAACCGAAAAGCCAAATCACACGAATGGCAGTATGTTTTAAAGAATAATCTTTTTGTCTGCACAGAAATAAGCAAAAGTGAACAACTCTATTTTCTTCCCTTTTCCTAAGCCAAATCGCTAATAGATCTCAATAGACAAATTGCGGAGGGAAGGGAGAGAATTGTGCCATGAAACAAGCAAAAATGCGCAAATATCGCAGTCCTCCATTTCCTATTTGTCCCTACAGTAAAGTTACAAAGATGAATATTTCGTGGACTGATTGAAACCCAGAAAGAAGGTACTCCGTTTGCTCACAAGAAATTGGTAGCTATGGGTATTAGGATTAGATTAACGAGGAGATGTGCCGTCGTTCTATTAAGTTGATACAAGGCTTTCTAAGAAGGATCAATGCAACAGAAAAGCAAAAGGAGGAATTTGAAACTGCAGCATCAAGATCTGAGGCAAAAACTACTAAGTTGAAGGCAAAATTAAGAGAAACAGAGGAGCATCTACGATGGCAAAAATAGTTGAATAAGTTTCTTGTAAGGGTACTTATGGTAAGTTGGTTGGTTGCTGTAATAATGATGCTTACAGAGAAAAAAGAGATGGAATCTCTGCTGAAATGCTACAAATGGAGGTAAATGTACTGGGATGATGCTACAAATTCGTGTGATTTGGCTTTTCGGTTGCAAAATCGGATAAACTAGCCCAAAGGGCTACAAGTTCCCAATTTTACAAGTTCAAAGAATGAAAATTGACTACAAATAGTTTGAGAGGTTAATTTTACCTAAACTAAAAGTTTAAGAGCCAAACGGATAATTTGCCCTTTAGTTTATGCAGTAGTGAAATGCTACAACTAAGTGTGTGAGCTGTGTGCATGTCCCACACAGTAGGTCGCTCTATGACGATTAGATTAGATGATGATGAGAGGAGATTTGCCCTCAAGAATTTTGTGGCTGCAAAAAGTAGGCCCAACTGCATGCCTAATTGCCTAGCCCTTTATGGGGCTTTTTAGTGTAAGGAAATATGAAATACCATACTTCATTATGTAACCATTTCATGAGCAGCATCTACAATTTGTTGCCCTTACCCCCCTTTATATGTGTCCTGGTTCTTTTTTTGTTTCCCCTATTTTGAGCAGTGGAAATGGAGGACACTACAAATTAAACACGGTCAATTGATCCATTGGTGCTTACTCATTTAGATGGGACCTCAATTCATTTGAGGCTGGACATGTATAATTCGATTCTCAACGTTTGGTGGCCAAGATATGATCACGAGTGCCCATTTGGAATAATTGCAGCTAATCATAATGCTTAACTACAATTTTTTGTGGGATTTACATCTATTTATTAGAAGTTCATAACCATTGACAGAGACCAGGCCCTAGGTTGACGGAAACATTTAAAGCCAGAAACAATTTGAAACTGTACATAAACATTCAACAGAAAGTTAGGTTGAATTTGAATTCTGGAGGGAGCGAAACAGAAGTCTCGTAAAACCACTGAACTTTGGTTCAATGGCCATCAAAAAGGGATTAAATTCTTCATTGGACTGTAGGTTAGGATTCGAATCCTACTTGCAGTGAAAAAAATCCAAAGGAAGTGCTAAAATACCATTTTGATCTAGTTAGACTTGTATACCTACTAGCTCCTTACACGGTCTCTTTAGGTTCCCCTCCTTATAGAATAAAATAAATTAGGTTATATAAATGTTATCGTTGCCGAAAAAGAAAAAAGAAACAGAAGTGTTGTAGGTTATACATATGCTTTTAATTTTCCTTTCTAAAAATGCCATATAATGCTTTTTATTCATTTAATGGCTGATACTATTAGTTTTCGTGAAGTTCACAATATTGTGGATCTGACGCTTCTATAATTGCTCATTTCAGTTACAACTTACAATTTGTGTGACAAAATAAATATATATACTAAGACAAAACATGCAAAAAAAAATTAAATCTTATTCTCACTAATCGAAAATTGTGTCTCACGATCAACTCTCATCCGTCTAAATCAAAGTAGATACGCATCCAACAATGGCGTAAATTACTCGATCCCCATATTAGCATCCACCAAATCACTTGCCTTTTCCAACAAATCAAAGACTCGTTCATGGACAAAGTCCAACATGAACAAAAGTAGCGACTTGAAAGGGAATAAACATCATTTATATTCTCCCAATCGAGATTAAATTCTAAATTTGTAAGTGCAACGTAAGATTCCAAGATTTTGGGGATAACTGCCCCTTTTCTTCATTTTTTTTTTTTTTTTTACGTGTAGGTATATAATAATCATCATATTAGCCGTAAAAATGTCCGTAGCTTGTGCATTAGTGGCCAAAACGTAGAAAAGTTTTCCACATTCCAGATCCTTCACGCATCAAACATAGCGGGTATCTTGCATCTTCCTCCATATGAAGAGGGGCCGGAAGATAGAACTTTCTCCCAATCTTTATTTGTTCTCAAGCACCTTTGCCCATCAAGGATCAATAATTTTGACTGGTCTTAGATATTCTGATGCTCACGCGATCCACTATTAGCGTGAAAACCACGCCGCAACCTACTGGGTTGAATCATAGGTGGGCACTTAAGCAGCGGGCACTAGCTTTCGTTTCTTGTTCTGATACTCCATGTAATAGAGGACAAGTTTCACTTTGCCATCAAGAATCTAAAATCTTTGTTTCTGCATTATGGAGTCTGCATTTACAGCTCAGAATGAAGATGCCAACTTTTGGTAAGAATTAATTTTAATATGTTGAGTTACTTGGATTAATTTTTGAATAAAAACCATCTCTTCTCTGTCAAGAATTCACCACTTTCGTTGTATGATTTGCGTTTTCATCAATTTTAAGAATAATAGTGTATTTCTCTGTGACATAAACTACTCCATAAAATGACCAATGGCATTGTTATACTGTTAGTCTGTTAGTACTAGTTATGAGGTGAAGAGGTTTCATCCTTGTCACCAAGTTGGATTTAGGATCCACACAAAAAGTGCAGAAGTTTAAGGGTTGAAGAAATAGGATGCTACTTTGACAAAAGGTAAGAATTACGAGGACTAGACCATCTTAACTACTGTTGTTGTCTTCTTTTTCCTTTTTTGGTAATATAGTACTTAAAATTTTATGATAACTGACTGCATTTTTGGTAGCCTAATATATGGATTGTGATAACTGATTGTATTTTTGGTAGCCTCATACCGCTTCTAGTTCAATTCTTTCGAATTCATTGGATCCCTTTCCGCGTTCGAGAATCCCTTCCTTTCTTACACTTCGAAGAGTAAAGTAACTAGAACTAATTTAGTCACCTTTTCATGTTTCAATTGAACACTTTCTATTTTTTATTATCCTCAAGAGAGAAGATTATTCTTTTTAACAGACATATACGGGTCCAATTATGATCTTATAATAAGAACAAGAGATCTTTACCCCTCATTTTTCGAGAATTAAAAAGATCCTTTTCAAATTTGAATTTGTTTATTTGGAATCTAGATTGTTCTACTTTATATTTATTTAAATTTAATATTTGTCCTCTCTTTTTTTTTTTTAATATCATTCTTTAAGTCCCATAAGTTTGATCCTATAGAATTTGATCCATTTTTCATTGAACAAGGGATACGAAATAAAATATTAGAAAATGATTTGATTGGATAATAAAATGGAAGGGATTATAAATAAAGATGTCTGACTTTCAAATATATGTGCGGGCGGCGGGCGCGCGCAGGCATTGCGAAAATTCAAAGTCCCATTGCCTTTCAATTTGGACCAGTCAAGGACGCCATTCAAGAAAGTTGACCAATAGTAATGAAGAAATTCAACGGAAGTCCACGCGAAAGGTAACTTTCAGTTCAGCATTCAGGGATTCAGCATTCAAAGGAAGTAATCAAGTTACTCTTGAAGTCATGTTTCATTCATTGCCTGTGTAAAGTTTTTTCCCTTCACGAATCTCAATTCAATTGAGATCGAGAAATATAAACGTCCGGACTTTGTCTATAAATTATAAAAGAGTAAATCTTATATACACTGTCAGTGTATATATATATTCACCATTAAATATATTACATGTGTAAAATTTAAATTTGAAATCTAAATTTGTTCATTATATTATCCATACAATCATAATAATATATACGCTGACAACATATATAAGATTAATCCAACAATCACTTCTCTTCAAAAACTGAGAGCTTGCAATTACATCCTTATCTCCTTTTTAAGTAGTTTTATTGCATCACTGATTAGTCAATTTTAATCAGCTGTGAACTAGTGTATCACCCAAATGTTGAAAAAGGAGTTAGCCCACTTGAAAAGTGGAAAAATTAATAATGCATGGTTGTAAATATCAAGGGCTGACCGCAGACATAAGAAAATAATTCATCTGAAGTAAAGTCCATCTAAAGAAAAGGGCTTCGATTCTTTTATTCTTTGGAAGAATTGATAAGTTCATGGAGGGTAAAGTCCAGGATGAGAGATTTTATTTATTTATTTTTTTTGAAAAAAGACAAAACCATTCACATGGCTGATGGCTCATACATGTTCCAAAACCTTCGTGTGCCATACTGTTCCAAAACCTTCATGTGCCGATGTGTGGCTGCAATTGCATTCTATCGGCAACTGGTAGTGTCCACTGTCTTGTCAACTGCAAAGTCAAATTTGTGAACATACAAGTATATATCCGGATTCAGGATGCAGCATTGAATTATTGAAAGCTTTGTCTATCAACCTGCCGAAGGGTAAAGACAAAGGAACAAAAACAAAAACAAAAAAAAAAACAAAAACACTAGAAGGTGCTATTGAATGATTGGATTGTAGATGTAGCGCCCACAAGCCAGCAATTGGTTTCATTATAGTTTGTTGAACATCGCAAAAATGAATATCTAGTCGAATTTGAATCTCCGTCCCACTTCGATTATGGGTTCTTCAACCTGAGTTTAAAGTTCTCAGCCGCACCTCCTGTCACCAATTGGTTGGATGGTGTTGATTTGTGGATCCCCCTTAAATTAGTCTCTGACTCAATTTGGCGATGATTTTCTGAGCGTTCTAATCTAATGGGGTGTGTGTGTTTATTTCTGTCTATGGAAAAAAAAAATAGTCGAATTTGAATCCTATATTAATTTATTGAATGAAATTGTACCATATCTCGTGTTGATAATTGTTGAGATGCTTTTGTTCTTAATTGGAATGATACAATTTTGCATCCCTAATGTTTTGCGCGCAGAGATTCTGAATTTGTACCTTAACTTTTATTTTGAAAATTCTGCACTCTAAAGTTATAAATACCTATTATATTGCACGCCGAACTTTTATTCTAGACAGTTTACACCCTAAATGCACCATTTAACTTAGAATTCTTATAACCTTGAGGTGTTAGTTGAAAATAGCTGAAAATATAAGGGGTACGAAGTTTATTAAACCCTTCTTAATTTTCAAACACAATTGGAGTAAGTAAAACATGCGAGTCACTCGTTTATGCTTTCAATTTTGGATTGAACAATCAACAAATTCATTTTTCATGCAAAAGCAATTTGTCCCTAAAAAAAAACTTAAAAGAAGAAAAGTAAAACGAAGTAAAGAGATTTGAGTAGTCTAAGGGTCTGTATAAACTATAGCAGTACAGAATTTTCCCCTTAAGGGCTATTCTCAGACTTAACAGGTCAATAAAAATGATCAGCCAACACGATTGTTATCAGTCAAATAAGATAAGAGGATCGCTTTTGATCACCTTAGAAACAATTGAATGAGAGAGAGAAATATAAGTAATCTTTAGGAAGGCGGTGAAGGGGAGGGTGATTCCCCCGGCTTGGGAAGATTATGCTGCATTTTGTTGTGAACTGGAGGGGGTGGGCTTGGCAACACTCTATCCACAATTGGATCATAACCTGCAATTTCAAGGCCGAAATTTGTTGTCATCGTTTTCTTGACCCAAGAAAGAAAGAATGACACCAAAACAAGATGTTTTTATTCCAGCTTTCTGATACTCAGTCTCGGAATATATTAATGCTAATCAGAATGACTATTAATTCTCGTCAAGAAGTAAATGATCTTCATGATTTTCATTTTCCAGAAACTTATTACCTGATATATTTTTTTATCTGAAAACGGGAAAATGATTTAAATGGAGTACAGTTTGTTCATCCTAGCCATTTATATCACTATATGGGAAAATTTGCAAATATTCTAGTTTACTTATAAGTTTGGTCGTGGAAGAAACAGAAAAAAAAAAAAAAAAAATAGCAGCAGAATAGACTAAGGTGGTTAGAGATGATAATTCATACCTGCTGTGACTTGATGGAGCTGTTCTGCGATGAAAATTATCACAATGAAGATCCTCATAAATTTAATAATTCTCGAAAGGAAAGAAGGATATTTCTTGTTTATGCTTGGATTGTGCTCAAGTGCTTTCTTCCTCGACTGAGATACACAGGAGGGAGCCATGACGGGAAAATTGTGGTCTTCTGGCCTTCAAAGTTTACGGTACTGTCATGTATTCACAAACTCTTTCTTACCTTATTAAAAAAAAAAAAAAGATAACTATTACAGGCTACTCTTTTGTTTTGAAAGAAAATAGATAATATATGGATTCGTTTTCCCTATCAATACTATTTTCAATTGAGAACATTTTCTTGACTCACAAGTTGGAATTGAAAGTTTTTTTCTGAACTACTAACTCAAATATGAAATTCAAATAGCCTCCAAACGAAACTAATTTATGAATCAAACATATTGAATTGTGAAAAGTCGACTTGATTGAAATATCTGCATAGCTAGGCCCTTAAACCCTTTGCAGAGATGTCAAACGTTTATATTTGTAAGCAGCTTAACTTAGCTATGGTCATCCAAAGTTTGTTTGATTTTCTTGATCAGAGTGATCAAAGGATTTTCCTGTTCATCCTCGAAGGCATTTATTAGTTTTAACTGAAGTCAAGTGTTTAGACATTGGTCATGACTCGTGAGTCGTGACCTTGGTTCTTCTTTGTGTCTCATGGTCAAAGTATGGGAAAACGTGTTGCCCTGTTGATAATATTATATTCGTTTGGATTACTATTTTCTGAATTTTTTATATAATAGCGATTTAACATGTGTAATGTAAAAAGTTATTCAAGAAATAATTTGATCATAGAAAACATAAAAATTGTTCTGAGAAAAACTTCAATCCAAATGATAACACGTGTCAGTATGAGCTTGACTCGGATTGGTTCTCATAATTCTGGTATTTTTATGTCCCAGATTTATATATCTACATTAATTAAGCGGCTTGGAAATTGACTAGCTTTTCAATTGGTTCCCACGAGGATTGATTAAATACAAGCAACTTCGGTTTCCTTTTTCTTTTTTATGATCTTCATGATTTTCACATTCCAGAGAGGTACAAACCTGATTGTTTCTGAAACTAGGAAAAGTAATAAAACGAATTTTTCTTCAAAAACAAAAATGGAAGAAAAGAGGGTTCTGTTCATCATTCATTTGTTAGAAGAGGAGTAAAATAACTAATAACATCAGTCATATATCGTGTTATATGAAGAGTGGACAGATGACTCTTTCAAAGAAAAAAAATTAGTTTATGAAAGAAAAAAAAAATTTAAACTGCTTTTGAAGACAAATAAATTAAAATAGCCTTCAAAGAAAATTAATTTATTCTTTTCTATTTCAAACCTTTCGCAGAAAATGCTGAACTGAATTAGTCACTAAACCTAATCAACCATGTGAAAAGCTGACTTGCATGAATGAAATATTTCGGACAGCTACTAGTTCTTCGGCCCCCCACCTCTACACTGAAGTCAAACCTTTATCTTCTTATAATTGCTCATTCTGATACTGATAGATAGCTCCAACTTCCGAGTGTTTCTTCTAATTTACTGTTTATCTTCTCTCTCTGTCTCTCTCTTTTTTTTTTTGGTCGGTCCTTCTAATTTGTGTTCAGAAATAGTTATATGCTCAGTGGAAGTAAAATAGGAGCAGTTTTTAGCACAATAAATACATTTTCCTTTGCATTAAGGGATTTAATAAAGAATTTGAAATTCTCTCAAATCTGGGTCGATTTTGATAGATGCTTGGCACGTAATTCACTAATTATTTTGATACGTTTATAAACTGAACTGTTTTCTCCAAATCTCTCGATTCAAACGCAACCAAAAGAATTCTATTTTTATTGGTCCCACTTCGACAGTAGAGTAGAAAATTTTCAGTCATCAGAGCAGCATTGTCATTATTTGAAAGAAATAATAAGGCCATCATGCCACCATTGCATATTATATTCATCCAACCAATTTTGCAGACAAGCAAACATCCGTATAAATTGACGAAGCTGAACAGGATGTTTTGGGATTGATGTCTGAAAACTGGATTAGGCCTTGTCAACATCCAAAAGGACGTTAATGGCAGAATAATCTATTGGGTTGTTGTGGATTAATCATTAATCTTCTCCTAACTACACATATCAGACAAAGGGTTAGATATCACTCATTATCATGTTCTTGTTTTTTCTTTCATAATAGAAACACCATTCATTCTTGACTCTCTACCTTTTTTGCTTGCCCTCAAATTGAATCTTTTATTATTGTTTTTCAAGACAGAGCATAAAACAAAATGATTTTATTTTGATTAAAATATTGACATATTGGATTCCATTAATTTCCATGCATAACACCAAAATTGCACGAATAAAGAGAGTACTTTGAATTGAAATTTTTTTTGTAGCCACTGTTTACATGTTCTTTAGATGACTATTAATCATGATATCATAAAAAAAAAAAGAAGCAAAACATGATGTTATTTCTTTTATTCCGTTGGATGTAATTCTCTCTTCTTCTTTTTTTTTTTCTGTTTTGTAGGTATTGTTTACATGCTCTTTAGAAAACAATTAATCTCGATATCATTTAAAAAAAAAAAATCATGACGTCATTTTCATTTTCTTCCGTTGGATGTATTTTTTCCCCCTTCTTCTCGCAACAAATTTTACGTCATATGCGTTAATAAAAGATAAGCGTCTGGTGGTGGGCAGCAAGCTTGCTGCTTTTGTTGTTAACGTCCATCTTCTTTTTGGATCCTAAAGTCCAAAGAATTAGAACTTGGGCTTTTATCCCTAGAACAATTCCAGAGGACATATTAAGACATTTCGCTTGTACAAGTCACCAACATGGGCCGAGTTTAAATCCAATTGCAAGAGCTTATATTGGCCATTTATAGGTAAAAATACTTTTTGATTTTGAGTAAGTTTTTTATACATCATCAGTGTACGATTTTTTTTTAAGACTAACAAGTTTAGATCATGTTACTTAATATGAATTTAAATTAAAATTTAAATCATACACACGTGTCGTCATACATCCGTTGTTACTAATGTAAAAAAATTACTAAACTATCAGTGCATAAAAAGTTAATCCATACTTTTTTTTTAACTATGTATTAGCTTAGAGTTCATTTCATTACTAAAAGAATTTTAATTTTAAATAGAGTTTATATAAGTGTCGTTCATCCAACCCGCTAGTCGAAAAACTAATTTTAAGCTGGAAGGTCATTTTCTTCTAAAAGCCAATTTTAAGCTAAAATGCATTTCCATTGTGTATTATTGGATTATATGAAAAACTTGAATTGTTCTCCATTGGAATATGATGATCTTTTCTTTCATCCTTGTTATTTTTTTTCCCTTTAAGGTGGCAATCAATACGTGCATGAACGTGTAAGTTGCGTGTGTATTTTTGTCTTTGAAATATTTTTCTATGACCTTGCTCATGATTTTTCCTCCATTTCTCCCCCTTTATAGCTTCCCTTTTTTCTTTTCTAAATTAAAGTGTTCCCACTAGTACGTAACTTCCTCTTCGTTTATCAACTTATTCCATTAATTTTCATTTTCAATAAACAAAATACTATATCCCTTTACAACTCTCACAAATTTTTTTATGCCTATCATAATGAAAATTGCATAGTGAACTACTTACTATACGTTATGAGAATGAAATCGGGTGGTTTATGAATATGGAAAGGATTATGGAATCGGATGGCAAGTATTCTACTGAGGGGATAGAAACAAAAATGATAAAAATATCATTTTATACGAATTAAAATAAATTGAAGAGAAATGCCAAACTGGTTTTTCTTTTTTCTTTTTTTTATACTGCACAAAAAACTTTGACTAACAAATTAACTATATACCAATTGGAAGTCTGAGGTAAAATCAAATGTTGTATTCATTGATAAACTCTAGCTAGTGCAATTCACATTGGAACGTGCAATTTTCGTTCTACAAAGCATTAGAGGCATTTCCATATCTTTTCTTTTCTATCCTATACTCCCAAACTGGCCATAACAGTCCTTAAATTTTATCAGGGTGGAGAGCAAGAGCTAATTTCCCATACTGTTTCTTTATTGTCTCATCAATCACACCAACCAAGGACCTCATACCAGTCCACTTCTCCATTCACCTTTGTCTCAGAAGCAGCATATATAATATAACAAGCGTCTCCCGAAAGACCCTCTAGTTCAAGAAACAGGCTTTGAGCCTTGGAAGCAAATCTCATAGCTCCTCGTATCGTATGTCATTCTCTGCCAACTTTTGCTCTGCCATTTCTTTCGTTGGTTAAAAAGGTAACGAAGAAAAAAGCATAAATGGCCGTGCTGGACACAATAGATTTACTTCCAAGTCACAGAAATTTTTCTTTTGGGTCATATAAATTTGTCTTGATATAAATATCGGAAAAAGCCAAATTGGTTTTTTTCTCCCTGCACGTGGATTGGGGATTTTTTTTAAAAACAAGTTTTTCAACTACAATACTACAGTAATACTGTAATACACAAATAAAAATAACCTTAAAAACATCAAAAACAACTTCAAAAATATCAAAAATACAAAAAAAGCAACCTCAAAAATATAAAAAAAAAACTTCAAAAATACCAAAAACATAAAAAATAACTTTAAAAAAATACCAAAAATACAAAAAAAGCAACCTCAAAAATACAAAAAAACAACTTCAAAAATACCAAAAACATAAAAAACAACTTTAAAAAATACCCAAAATACAAAAAAATAACCTAAAAAATAATCTCATCTACAGTAAAAGTTTTTCAATTACATTGCTACAATAAAATATTTCAAAAACAGCTCATCCAAACGGAGATCTTTTGGAAGTCGTGAGGTAAAATCAAATGTTTATAGGTACTTTTCATTGATAAACTCTAGCTAGTGCAATTCGCATTGAAACGTGCAATTTTCGTTCTACAAAAACATTCGAGGGATTTCTATATCTTTTTTGTTCAAATTAACAAGATTCACTCCTCACACTGGTATTACTTGAAAGAGTTGAGGGAAAATTTTGAACCCACAAAAAACTACTAGTACTTGTAACGAAATACGCATACCAGCCAAGGGTTTATGTGCAAAGCATTTTCACCTTCGTTAATTAACTTGTCCATGTGTGAACTTGTAGGACTAATTTAATTGATTACCGGACTTGTATTTAATTAAATGGGTTCAACTTCTGCAATTTAAAAAAAAAAAAAAACCCTTTCTTCGTCTTGGAGTTGAAAATGATGTAAGAGTCATCTTCAGGCTTGTCTTTTAGTTGACTAGTATACATAGAGCTTTTTATTTTCAACTTATTTTAGCATTTATAATTTTCTCAACTAGGAAAATAAAAAAACAAAATAGAAATTTTAGTTCTGCTACATCTGCCAGTTCTCTGTTGCTCAAAAACTAACAGTTCGTTTGGGAGATGGGAAAAGAAAAGAAAAAGGAAACAGGGAAGGAATAACTTTTTTGGCCATGCTTGGATTGCTTGTTTCCGTCGGAAAATATTGTCGTTTTTCGTGATCACATTTCCCTATCATCTTTTTCCCTCACATATATTAAATTGTTACAGTAATTTTTCCATGAAAAATGACGGAAAATGCAATCCAAACACAAAGTTTTTTGGCCTCATTTGTAGGGCTGCTACAGTTGAAAAACCTTTTTATCCACTTGTGAGCTGATTTTGACAGAAAGTTGTAGAAAGTCTGCAAATTTAAAAATAAAAAAACAATTGTGTTCTTAAATGAATACTAAATAAAATTTTAATGTCATATATATCCAAAATCGCTCCGTTTGTTTCTCAGACTCCTAAATAACATCAATATCACTTTCATTCTTTTCTCTTCTCTTCTTTTCTTTCATAATTTCTCATCTTTTTCTTTTATATCCTATACTTCCAAACTACCCATAATAGCCCTTAAATTTTTTTATATTTCGGCTTTTTCTAATTTAATCCAGCAGCCTTGTTCTTATCAGGGTGGAGAGCAAGAGCTAATTTCCTATACTGTTTCTTTATTGTCTCACCAATCACACCAACCAAGGATCTCATACCAGTCCACTTCTCCATTCACCTTTGTCTCAAAAGCAGCATATATAACAAGTGTCTCCAGAAACTGCGAAAGACTCTCCAGTTCAAGAAACAGGCTTTCAGCCTTGGAAGCAAATCTCATAGCTCCTCGTATATCATTCTCTGCCAACTTTTGCTCTGCCATTTCTTTCGTCCCTGGCAAATTGCCTCATCTTTGTTACATTCCATATCCACAGGCCAGGAATGAAAGATTTTGTTGGATACAAAAACATGTTACACTCGTAGTTTCACTTCATTTTTTGTTGTATAGCTAAGTTTTTTTTTTTTTCCCATAGAGGTTACTCCAAAATTCAAATATTTTGTTAAACTACTATTAGGTTGTGAATACTGCTCTGGCACGCGGTGCGCACGATCAAGCGTGACAAAGTATACATTGCTACTTAGAGATCTTTTCATTCTAAACCATGTCCATTGTTATATTATCATCTAGGATTAATATTGTTCTATGAAAATCTCATTCAGCAAAGCTCCTTAGTAAATATTACTCACATACTTTGAAAAAGTTATCTAGCAAGCTTGTTTCTGTCCCCTCAAAATAAAAAATATTGATACATACATGACCCCAAAAAAGGATACTAATCGAGTAAGAATTTTTTTGTAGAGGACACTAGACTTTTATGTTTGTTCCCAAATTACCACTATATTGAGTAAGATTGTGTTGAGGTAATATGGGTAGTTATGACAAGATTGAACTTTATTGCTCTTCTTTATTTTTTTAGAACTTTTTTTGATGGGTTTATAAATTTAGTTTAAAATTACATTACTTCCCTTCATGGAGACTTTAAGTTCAATATTGGATGAAGGTCTTTTTTTTCATTTTATACCAGAACGGGAAGTATACGTAATTTTTTAAACTTGAAGGATACTGATTGAAATTGTCATAAACCTTAGGGAAGGTTTGTGAAATTATCCCAAACAAAAAACCTTTCTTCGTGTTGGAGTTGAAAATGATGCAAGAGTCATCTTCAGGTTTGTCTTTTAGATGACTAGTGTACATATAACTTTTATAATCTAATTTTGCATTTATAATTTTCTCAAGTAGGAAAAAGTACAAAAGAGAAATTTTAGTTCTGCTATGTTTGCCGAAATAGCTCCGTATAAACTAGCTAATTTTGAAGATGTTTTTCAAAAATTTTACTGTAACAGTGTCTGTTAAAAACTTCTCTATTTGTCAAAAACTTAAATTCCTTAAAAATGTTTATATTTCGGCTTTTTATTTTAATTTAATCCAGCAGCCTTGTTCGTATCAGGGTGGAGAGCAACATCCAATTTCCTATACTGTTTCTTTATTGTCTCATCAAACACACCGACGACCAAGGATCTCATACCCGTCCACTTCTCCGTTCTCTAGAAACTGCGAAAGACACCCTAGTTCAGGGAACAAGGCTTTGAGCCTTGGAAGCAAATCTCATAGCTCCTCGTACATCATTCCCTGCCAACTTTTGCTCTGCCATTTCTTTCCTCCCTGGCAAATTGCCCCTTCTTTTTTACCTTCCATTTTCACAAGGCCAGGAATAAAAGATTTTTCTGGGCACAAAAACACGTTACCCTCGTAGTCTCACTTCATTTTCTGTGGTATTGCAAAGATTTTTTTTTTTTTTTTTTTTTTTGGGTCATAGAGGTTTACTCCAAAATTCAAATATTTTGTTAAAGTAACATTGCCTTATGAATACTGCTGCGGCACGCGATGCGCACGATTAACTGAAACAAAGTTTACATTTGCACTTACAGATCTTTTCATTCTAAGCCATGTTTATAGTTATATTATCATCCAGGATTAATATTGTTGTATGAAAATCTCATTCAACAAAATTCCTTTGGTAGCTTATTAGGTTGTTGGAGATTATGGATTCAAGATTTGTGTCATCGTTTATCAAGCTCTTGGTTGATTCTATGTGATAGCAAAGTTACAGAAATTAATCTACCCAAAAAAAAAAAAAAACCAATAATAGAAATTAAAGGTATTACCTGCTAACTAGAATAAGGTTTACTATAGTCCTACTTTTTTATTCTTCTTCCTGCAGAGACATGTAAGGGTTGGTAATTTGTACTATTTCCGTAACCAATGAGACAAGCCTCAGTCTCTTCTAACATGCTTTCTAGTTTCTACCCGTTCTTGAAGGAAAGGAAACAAGACGCTAGTTGATGGAGAAACTAAGCCATAACTTCTGCAGTGTCTACAAAGGGTGCAATGACGTTAATTAGAGGATGGGATTATTACAATCCGAAAAAATGTACAGAATGATGATAGAATAAGTGAGTTCAGATTTTGGACTCTATGAAGTGAATTACATCTACCAAACTCCTCTGATATTTCTTGGAAACTTATTAATCACCTCCTTTTAATCAATCGTGAAGAAAAGAAAAAAAAAAGAAGAGAAAAAAGAGACGACAAAAGTTTTTACATCGTACCTATAACTTGGTTTTCACATAATTAAAGAGTAAATTGATACCATATAACAACAAAAGAAAATTTTCAAAGTAGGTACATGATTATCTTGTGTAGTGGTCCAGGAGGTTTTGATTTAGCGGCTAAAGTTGAGATACCAGAATTTAAACATCTTGGATTCAAATATTTTCTCTCCATTCCTGTTTCTTATATCTCACTCTTCTCCTGTTAGAAAAAAAAATTAAAACAAATCATATTTATCTAGTGTAGTGAAGAAGTACACGCCTAGCTAGCCTCTGTAAAATCTGCAAGGATGAGATTCTAATGCACCAAAATTTAGTTGTTGCCTTAAACTCAACTGTCGAAAATTTTTCTAACTCTGTTCATTTGTTTTAACCAATACTTTGACTTGTTAATTGGGTATATATTTCATTCTAGACCATAATCCTAGCAAAATCTTAAACCAGGATTTGGATGAATGTTTCTTTGGATATAATCATGAGACAAAATTTCATAGGGATACGGATTTCATCAATTATTGAGATCTTCTTTACTAATTCTAGAGGATGGAGCAATTGTTTTATGCATCAAAAACTAACCCAGGTCCTTGTCCTTTTTGTATTTCAGTAACCAATACTGGGGAATGCATATGCTTTCTACGGCCAAAATTCTACCCTTTTTCCTTTAGTAAATGAATGTGCTGTTTACCCCCCCAAAAAAAAAAAAAAGGCTGCAATTGAAAGTGGTAATGGCAAAGTCTTACTCACCTAACTTGCACGGGTATCATGCATCTGTAGTTTTAGAAAAATTCAATGCCTGAATTTAGCATTAGTGTAACTGGGCTGACACATCTTATCTGAACTTGCCGCATGACATACAAACATCCCAAGATTTCTTAGCCCAAGTCAAATAGTGGATCTCCTTGATGATGGGCTCCAAGAACTGGTAAGCCAACAAATTGTGAATTTTGATCGAGTTTGATCCTAAGCAATATATTTCATCTGCTCTTTCAGACAATTTATATGTTCAATATGTTGTGGATGGTTAAATAATTCTCTGCACAATTTACATGTGGCAGTCTTGAAAGCAATGAACATGGCAACAAGATACCAGGTGAATCCAGGACAGCAAATTTTGCGGGTACACGGGAAAAAGTTTCTATCGCCGTTTGGATTACTATTTTCTGGAGTTCTTTGTAGAAAGATATATTATAACGATTTAATATACGTGAGATAAAGAAGTAATTGAAAAATGTGTTCATGAAAAAACGTAAAAATTTTTGAGGAAAAATGGCAATCCGAACAAGGTAATTTAATGTTCAACTGTATGATGAGTAGCCTTTCTGGCACATTAATTGCATGTTAACAGTTGGATGTGTTCTTGTTACCTGCTTTGAACAGCTTATGTTCTCCCTTTATCAAACTTATGTGAGTAATCAGCTTTCTAGACTTCGTACTTTGCAACATCCAATGAACCATAAAGAGAATGTAATAATTCAGGATTCATGTCAAATCAAAATTGAATTTAAGCAATATCTGCATAGCTACAGAAAGAGCCCAAAAGTGTGGGATAATTGGCGAAGGGGGATAAGGTTATGTGTGATCTTTGAGGCTGTAGGTTGTACTTGATTCTCTTACCGCTTCTGATAACCAGATTGAGATTTTACAAGTACAAACAAAGAATTTGTAGAAGCTATATATTGATAATTCCTATGTAGCAGCCAGGTCTAACATAATATGTACTGAATCTGAGAATTTGCAATCAATATCTCCTTCCATTTTCCATTGCATCTAAATCTTGGCTTCTGGATTCAGGAGTTGCTGTTACGTGGTTTCGCATGTGATCCATTTCTATGTTTGTTGAATTCTTTGAACCATTTTCCTCCAGCAGTCGAAGAAATGTATGAGTAGCCCCCCCTGCATTTTGCAGAAAGAGTAAGAGAATCAAATTACTGAAGAGTTCCTATACAATATTTATTCAGGATCAAAATGGACATTCGAAAAACAGAATTATGGATATTCGAAGTTAATGTACGACTTCGAATGCATGCTTTGTTTTTTCTGATAAGCTGAACATTTCAATCAACAGGGACCAAATGCGTAACTTATTAGCTGAAGGGATTCAGCTCATATTCTGGAAAAATGACTTTCCCAGAACCACGAGCAAGTTGTTTAAACTCACCATTTATGCCATGTGGAAAGGGGAAGAACTGCAGGTAGCACAAAGAGCAAACTACTGATCCTGCATTTTGCAACAGGTTACTATTAAGAGATCTTTACAGTGCTTGCTCAAGGAAGAACTCTTTCAACTTTCGTTTAGTTAGTTTGACAAACCTATTAAAGCTCCAGCAAATACATCCGTCCAGTGATGCCAATAGTCATCCACACGTGAAATACCAATTAGCGCAGCAACAAGAAGAGGAAGAATGACAAGGCAGAGTTTTGCCACATGCCCCCTCTGATCAAATGCTTTAATTTTCCCGCATAAGTACCATGACAAGAAACCAAGGCCAGCAAAGGACCCTGCATGGGGAAGGTACTTCGATTAGATTATCAGAAGTTAATTAGATGGAAGAAAGAAACATGAGCACAATTACGTTTTGTGTCTGTAGACTCTAGTCAGATGTGACCTTTTACTTAAGGGGGTGACCTGTACCAAAAACACTACAATTACAAACACATTTTCCAAACATATTAATTTGTCTACAAATGGTGTCATGAACTGGTGACAAGAAAAGAGCATGTGCTATCTGTTAAAGAGATCAAAAGCAAGAAAGCTTGAATGAGAAATCACAGCTCATTATTGATGAACTGAAGGCAGATTTTTGATATCCAGACTGAAGAATCATCTGATACTGACAGGTATTCTGACTTACATGAAGTATGCCCGCTTGGAAAGCTTTTGTATCCTTCTTTGATAATACTTTGGTCTCCTGAGCACAGCACATCCCCATTTCCCTTCTTAAACACCTAGACATTAACAAGACAATCCATTTAGCAGGTAATACATAAAGACTGGCATAAGCATAAGCCCTTTGCTGAGCAATATATAGTACGCACCGGCACTCCATCAGGGAAGCACCTCCAGAAAAAGTCAGGGCGTGGTCGACCAACGGCATCTTTGATGGAATCCGTGATGACTGCAGTTACGAGTATCGAAAATAGAATGCCTGCAATAGGATTGCCCATCAATGACAAAATGAACTACTTTAGATGAGCAAAAACCAAAGAATAATGAAATCTTAGTTTCAGTTAACTGTAAGTATTACCTAATGTAGCATGATGCAAATCATAAACATCCCTTCTGATGAGATAATAGATGAGAAATATTGTGCAGGGGACAATTATTGCAAAAATCTGTTATACAGAGAGCATGATCAGGAACACGACAGGCGATAATATTTCATAGAAAGCTACAAATTCCAAAGGCAGTTTTGCGTAGGCCAAAACAGGATTTGTAGGATTGGCTTACGTACTGGAACTGCCCAAAATGGTATAGTGTCTGGAATTTTCAAGGGGTATTTCAGATCTGTCATCATCTCAGGCCCAACGTAGCGATGAAATGGTTCTATAAGATTTAAGCCAGCATCTATTAGTACCAAGAGCAGGAGAATTATCCAGTCATGCAAGTGGACTCTTGCAACCTTTGTTCCATGGGATTTCAAAGTGTGCCCCCCAAATTGAATTCCTGGCATCTTTACAAGTAATCTGCATCAACAGAATTGAATTGTAAACACTAAAACTTGACAACAAGGAATAAAGCATTCAATTAGCATCTTAGACGTGTAAGAGGGAAGCTAATACAACCATGACAAGAACTCAACTAAATTACAAAGAGGAAGTTCTGGTACTTTGATTTCCATAACAGCCTTGAACAGGAAACTTGAAGCATGAGATGGAAAGTCCAAAATGCACTTCTTAAGAACTAAGAACTGTATGCAATAATGCAAAAGTGCATGTCTTTCCTAGGGGTGAATGGAATGAAAGGACTCTGTGAAGGTTTTAGCATCAAATGTTTATTGCAATACATGGATAACTATGCAGATGCACTTAAACTGTAACAATATCCTTATTGCAGTATTAAAGTCCTTTTTCAACCAGAATGAACTGTGAACCAATTCTAGTGTTTTTCACAATTAAGGATCAATTGATTTTGTAAACAAGCAAAAACAAGAAGATACGTACAATTTAGTTAACTATATGTAATCACCAACATTATGTCTATATGGTAGAAATGACCTGAGCTGAAACAGCATCAAATTCAAGAAGAATTAGCCCCGTATGACTTCTGAGACAGATGAATGGACGATTTTATTCTTGAAATAAATTTATGCGAGGAGGAATAGCCTCTCATATCCTCAAAGAAATCCAGTAAATCATCAACCAAATCATAAATGCTAAGCATTTCTGCATCTGACATTACTAAAATGAAAGAGGGAATTCGTACTTCACGGAAAACTAATCCAGGGATTGCAGGAGCACGCGAACATGGGGGGACTCCTCGGAATGTGGCTATGAAGAACACATGCAATGACCTGAAATTCAATAACTGAATAGATGAATAAGATTCTCAAAAGGGTTTATGGCATAATTGTTTAAAAGTTGGTTATCCATTGAAATCGGCAACAAGAAGAAAACCTGAATAGGATGCTCGAAAATCTTGTAAATTTCCTAAAAATTTCTTAAAGTGCTGACTTTTGGGGAAAAAAATTAAGGTAACTTTAGCATATATCATTAATACATCCTTGAAAAATAGTGTAAGCGGAAATAAATTATTGATGCACCTATGATTGTGGCTAGAAGAAAGGATCCAGATCCTGACGTCCAACACATTCCAGAGAGTGTCCAGGATTATTTCTAGTGGGGGAGAGTTTTACGTGCATGTGATACTTGGATGCTGCATGCCAATTAATTAGTACTGCTATATAATAGGAAGCCCCCTAACCTTAAATTCTTTATGCCCATATAGTACTTGAGGAGGTATGCTAGCCTAGCACCCATACTATCTGAAGACAGCATCTAGTCCTGAAGATAAAGAAGAAGATCATTTTAGAATGGCTAAGCATATTGTGTTTGGTAGAACTTACTTGACGTGTCTATTAGGATACATCTGCAGGAATTATGCATATCAAAGGTTGGTATGGTCAATATTTTTTTTTTTTTTCACTTTTTGATCTCATAATCCTTGCTACATTTTGCTTTATCCATTTGACAACAAAAAGATATATATCCCATAATTCACTTCATTCTATTTAGTGATAGGAGAAAAGGTGAAAAGGGATAAACAATATACTGCTAATTAACGTCCTCTAGCTACTAGCATGATTTTCAGCGTTTTTACTCGATTGTTTGGTTTAAGCCATAATTAATCACTTGACACCATGACACCGAACCTATGATTATAGCCCCTTACAGGATACAATGGCTTGTGGTTTACGCAACTATTATTGCAAATGAATTAAACATGCAACCATGAGGTGAAACCTACTAAGTGCATGCAAATATGTATATATTTATTTGGTTTAAAAAAAAAAGTTTAGATTCTTATTAATCGCTTATCAATACAGTTCTCGCCTCGTCGACAGCAGAATTCAAAACACATGAATTTTGTTGAGAAAGTGGCTCAATTGTATACTCTTTTTTTTTTTGTGTGTGTGATCAAACTCAGAGAGATTTGAAAGTGTTAACTACCAATGAATGGGCTATAACATCCTTAAAGTACTAGCCCTCAACAATTAAATTTCGGACAAGGGGCACGGACGGTTGCAGGTACAACCGTCCCCAACGGTTTTGGCCATTTTCAATAGCGCGTAACTTTGATTACACACGGCATAACTTTATTTGCACAACGTGTAACTTTAGTACAAAATTTTGCGAGCCCCACACACAGTGTGAAAATCGATGTACAGTTTGTTATTTGAATCGCACAAATTTTTTTGGCCAAATCATGACCTTTAACTGCTCAGGAACGGTCATCAGAATGACCGTCCCTGCCCCATTTCCTTAAATTTCGAGTTTCACCAAATAGATTGGGATGGTTCCATTGCCCACTGGCTGGCTACTGTGTGCAGTCTTCCCTACAAATCGTTAACTCTCTTGGGATCCACTCTTGACTCAACCATCACAAGTTCGCAAATCTTAAGGAAGCACAAAGCCAGAAGATTTCATAGATTTGAGGATTGCTTTAATTGCCCGCCATTTTACTCACTATTATTCATGCATTTACCATATTTTTAGGTCACCATTCATCTGCATCAATTCATTCTTTTATCATATTTTCTGTTGTACCACACGTGATCCTTTCTCCTAGCGTGTTTTTCTAGCCTATTCTTTCTTGACAGTTGTAAGTTGATCATACAAGTATTATATCAATGTGGGATCCTATATTTCTTTTGCCTAACATGAAGTTTTTTGTTTCGTGTGGATATGCTATTGAGACTTCAGAGAGAGTAAAAAAGAAAATGAACTTTAAACTTCAAAGAAAGGATCACAAAATACGTTTTATGCTACTTGCACTACTCGTGAGAAAGTGGCATATGCATTCTTATCCATGATTGAGAAGTGAAGCAAGATTATCCATCCAATTTCAACTCAAAATCTCCAGAAAATTACACAAGTTTCATAGTTGATCAATATGTGATTTATGTGGATCCAATGGTTTTTTTTTTTTAACCGAACTTAGAATGGCACACCACATTCAGCAGAAATTAACAGTAGTTGACAATTACATTCCCTTTCCTTTGTATAGCAACTCAACCCCCCCCCCCTAGAAAAAAAACCCACAAATTTGTCAGCTTAAGATCAGCTGAACCATGTACATTTTGTTCATTAGTTTGGTGAAATCACTTTTATCGTGCTCGCCATTTCTGTTGTTTAGTAAGTAGTAAATTTTTGTGTGCTTTTTAACCAACCCTCGAACAAAGCAAACAAGCTAAGATGTAAACATGGTGTGGACTTTTTTGCTGCGTTAAGTGCTAAGCCTCACTTGCAACTACTAGATGTAAATTTAAATTTACTTTGGATTGTGAAGATAGGCAAGCTGTATCCATTGAGTAATCCAAAAGCACTTTTAGGAGTTGTCAAAAATAGTACAGGACATCAGTAAAAATCAAGCATTCAGGATTCAGCTGGTCCTTGTACATCTTTTACACTAGTGTTCCCCATCTAAAAGGTCACAACCCTTTTTTCTTTTGTGAAAAGCCACCATCCTTTCAACACCAGGCTGATGGATCCACCACCCCATCCTTCCATGATACCTGCATCTATTCAAACTGCTACAACGACCAATAATCACCAGATTCACCAGAACTACCCTGATTCAACGAACTCTTCGCCACGGTCTCAACATATAGATACATGGGATGAACCTCTACCACCAGTTCCGGGTGCCAAATTGCGCCTGATGTGCAGCTATGGAGGTCACATTATTCCTCGTCCCCATGACAAGTCTCTCTGCTATGTAGGTGGTGATACACGCATTGTCGTGGTGGACCGCCATGCCTCTCTCTCAGACTTCCATTCGAGGCTCTCCCAGACACTCCTCAATGGCCGCCAATTCGTTCTCAAGTATCAGCTTCCCAATGAAGACCTGGACTCCCTTGTCTCCATCACTACTGATGAGGACCTGGAAAACATGATAGAAGAGTATGATAGAATAAACTCAGCTTCACCCTTGAAACCTCCTCGCCTTCGCTTATTTCTCTTTGCTTTCAAGCCTGAAACTGCAGCTTCAATGGGATGCCTGCTTGACGATGCAAAGTCTGAAACGTGGTTTGTTGATGCTTTAAATGGTGCTGGTTTGCTTCCTAGAGGACTTTCAGATTCAGCTGCTGTTGATAAGTTGCTGGAACTTGATGAGCCTCGAGTAAACGTGGATTCTGGTACAGTTATAGAGGCTCAAAATTTGACTTCAGGTGGCAACAAGCAAGCGATTAATAACGCCATTCAGGATGTACAATCAACATTTTCTGATTCACCTATGGTGGAAACAACCTCTTCATTTGAGTCTAGTGTTTCGTCTCCGTCCATGTCGAATCTTCCTCCTATTAAGGTTAGGATTGATGAGACAAATGCAAGATTGGGTGGATTGGATGAACAGTTCTCTCAGATGAATGTTGCTTCAAATGCACAAAAGCAAGATGATCGATCCATTCATATGGGAACTTCACAACCACCTATTCCTATAATCGTTGGTGGGGTTGGGGTGCACTCTGGAGCTGTTACAGGGGAGAATGTGACTCGCATTATCTCAGATGATGAGAAATCAGATCTTGGAGCACCACCTGGTGGACCCCGGAAACCTCCTCTGCCTTTGCAGTCTGTACCAAGAAAATTTGGAGATGCTTATAATTTGCCATCACCAGATTCGAAGCATGCTGGAGGTTACAACTTGCCTTCACCTGATTCTGTAGCCAGGTAACACAATCTCTATGATGTTCTCTGTTTCTTGAGTACCTTATTTTTTTCGGCTGAACAAGTTCATAGAGGACTAAATAGCCTAAAGGGATTATAGAGGCGGCTCAATCAGACTCACAAGCTCGTCTCCATCACTTTCAAATATAACAGCTGTAGAAAAAGTCTCAACATTTATCAGATCTTTTACCATTTTCTTCCTTATGCCACATTTGCGTCTCGATTTGTTAAAAGTAGAAATGTAGTTATGTAGCATGTGCTACAGACAATCCTCAAATTAGGGTGAGACCATTCCTTTTAGGAATTGGGACCCAAAATTTGATGGATGGAACAAAGTGACATATACAGGGGTATTTTTTCACAATGGTTTAGGTATTGTTGGAAATGAACCAGAGATTGGAGTTCCTAATTCTATCTGACAAGAAAAATCTGTTGAACTTCAGGATAATTTTCTCTTTCTAGCATGAGACGTTTCATTGACTTACATTAACGATTTCATTTTCCAGTGATTCAAGCATTGCATCTTCTGCCTCTCTTTCCAAACACACAATTTACCAGGACCCTGCTTCCTCTGCAACCAGAGAGAATAGAATTCCTTCTTCTGGGGTTGATCACCAGAGTAATATTACGGATCCAAGCCCTCTATTTCAAATGCAGCAAGTTCAAGAGACAATGGTTCTGCCACCCTCGCAGCAAAACCAGCTCCAACAACAGTTCATTCAAACCAGTGCACATTATATCCAGCATGCTGCAACGGGTCAAGTGCCAGTCTCATCTTACTATCCCGTTTATGCACCCCCACCGCAACAGGCAATTCATCAACAAATTGATCAGCAGTATCCAGTGTACTTGCTCCCTGTTACTCAAACCCAACCTTACAACCTAGCAGTGCAGTCCAATATAGTTGATGCAACATCAGTAGCCGCAGCCCGACCACCAACACCAACTCCAAACTATGTTCCTTCCACTGCTTACAAGGAAATTGCTCCACAAATTTACCCTGCAAAAACAATTACAACAAAGCCTGAAGTGCCAGCCAATTTATACAGAACAGCTGGTACTGCAACCCCAACATTAGTTCAAGTTCCTGCCAACCAGTTTCAGCAACAATACTATAGCCTTTCTCAAATGCCTCCTCCATCACAGTCCATTCCAGGTGTTTCTGCATCTGTTACAAATTATGGCTATGAATATGCTCACCCAACACATGATCAGGCATACTATGCTCAACATCCAACTGCAACACTACCTCAGTACCAAACAATTTCCCCAGCTGCAGCAATAATGTTATCACAGACTTCTACTCAATTGGCTACAGACGACACCTCACAACAAATAAGTAGCACACAATTATAGATCGAACGAGGATTCGATTGAGGTGCTCCACTTATTCAGGCTCTGATTGGACAGTTTCTTTGCAGGCAATGTGGTAATTTGGATTGGGAGTTGTGGGCTGTTTTGGCATTTTGGATGTGGTTGCAATAGGATTGTGTCTTTCATGTGTTAGGTGGTGGTGAATGTGGCTGCTAAATTATTGTCTAATTACGTATTTGTCCTTCATAATCATTTGTGCCCTTATGGTTCAGTTGGTGGATTATAAAATAATAATTAATGGTGAGATAATGGGTACTAGCCTGGTATATTTTTTACTTTTTATGTACTCTTGTTTGCTGTTGGTTTCAATTAGCATCAGACTCCAAGTTTTCTAATTTAACGATTGGCTCTGCGTTTCTTCGGACATCTGGCACTTATTGTTGAGTTTTAATTTTTGCATTTGTTCTTGATTGTTGTTTTACGAGACTAGTATTTTACTGTTAAGTTGGGCTGTGTTTGAAGAGAGTCCTCCTCAACAGGAATGAGAGTAGCACCAATTAAACCAGATCCGTTTGGGACCGTAGCATACGTTAACAAAAGAACCTCTTACAGCATTTACTTCACATGTACGACCAACATATGTTATGTTATTGTCTGACTATTCCAGTTCCAATTTCCACACTCCCAATGAGGACGTGATGCAAAGAAAGCTCATCAAGTATAAACAACATTTTTTTTTTTTTGTTGGGGTACGATGTATAAAGTATAAACAACATCTAAACTTGTACTTGGGGACCCATCCATGACTAAAATCCTAAGAAGAAAGCATGACTTTTGTAGTTTTTGAGTTCTGTCCTCATGATGATACAAATTGGAATCTAGTAACATCTGGATTTTAATCCTTGGAAGTATCAAGAGCAACCCCAGCAAACTGAAAGTGAAAGATGTTTCACACACTAGTTCACCTTCAATTTCAGACACTGTAAAATGGCAACCATTTCCTACTCTTTTTCCACTCCTAAGCTCTCAACGCTCCACTATTCCAGGCAAGCTCTAGTCTTTCTGAAAGTGCCAAGTTCACCATAACAGATACTTAAAAGCTTCAAATCAAGGTAAACTAACCGTTTTTTTCCTTTTCTTCTTAAGCAGGAATTTCAAGACCAACAGCTGTCTTTCTCTCAATCAACCTAGTGCAAAAACCACCAATGCCTCAGCAGCGGCAGCCGCCTCAGAAACTCTCAAAGTTGCATTCGCCGCCGGTGGGACCGGAGGCCACATATCCCCCGCTGTGGCAATTGCAGATGAGCTTAAAAACCAAAACCCTGACATCCAAATCCTCTTCATAGGCACCCCAACCGGGATGGAAAGCGCCGCCGTCCCCTTCGCCGGCTACCCATTTGTCGCCATCCCGGCAGCCCCTTTAGCCCGCCCTTTAATCTCTGTTCACAACATCTTCATCCTTCCTTTCCTTCTGACAAAATCCCTCGTCAAAAGCTTCCAAACCCTTCAAGAGTTCAGCCCACAAATAGTAATCGGCACTGGTGGCTATGTTTCTTTCCCCATTTGCCTTGCTGCAGCAATGAAAGGTTTAAAATTGGTAATACAAGAGCAAAATTCAGTTCCTGGAATTGCAAATTGGGTGCTTTCTTTATTTGCTGAGAGAGTTTTTGTAGCATTTAATTCTAGTGTGGACTGTTTTTGGCAAAGGAATAAGTGTATAGTCTGTGGGAATCCAGTGAGGTTTTCTTTGAGCAAGAATGTGGTGAAGGCTGATGCAAGAAAGCATTTTTTCCCTAAGGCAGTTGAGGGTATAGGGAAGGGACAAGGGAAGGTAGTTTTGGTTCTTGGAGGATCTTTGGGTGCCAGTGCGATCAATATTGCATTGTTGAATTCTTATTATGAGATGTTGAATCAGCGTGAGGATTTATTCATCATTTGGCAAACTGGGGTGGAATCATTTGATGAAATGGAAAGTCTTGTCAAGAACCATCCTAGACTGATTCTGAAGTCGTGAGTTTTTGTTTCTCTCGAATGCTTTCTTGTTTTTTTATTTATTCTTATTTGCTTGGATTACGGTTAGTCCTTACATCGTTTTAGGGCTAATGTTCTCTGTTTCTCGTTATTTTTTTGGATTCTGATTAGCTTTTGTATTGTGAAGGTTCTTGCATTCTATGGATTTGGCATATGCTGCAGCAGACCTAATCATATCAAGGGCTGGGGCAATGACTTGTTCTGAGATTTTGGCAACCGGAAAACCTTGTATTCTGGTATTAAAGAATTCTTAGTTGTCTGATATGTATCAAATGTGGTTAGTTGATTTAGTTAAATGATTCATCGTGCCAAACTATGATTTCTTGGTTGCCAGGTTTCCAACCCTGAGAATTTTGATGCCACTAGGTTGCAGCTTTGGTTCCCTTCACCTCACACACCCCTCTCCTCTGGACCCAAAGATATCCCCCCTACTTCTTGAATAACCTTAGAGAAGACACATGATTTCTTCTGATAGTACTATCCTTCCATTCGAGGACAACTATTGCATGCTCATGACGATTAGCAAAACGTTGCAAAGTCTTTGATAGGTTTCTCTGACTGCAGAAGTTAAGCTCTGCAATTTGTATTGATAACTAAATACTCCTTCATTACTAATCATAATAGAAGAATTTCATGGGAATTTCATTGCTGATCTATAAGCTGTAGTTGTGGTATTTACATTATTAGATACTTAGAAAAACAACTATCCATACAAACTCTATTGGTGAGTTCAACCATGATTGTTAACCATCTTTTGAGTTTTGTAGATACCATCACCCAACGTTGATGAAGGGCATCAGCTTAAAAATGCATTTTTGATGGCTGATTTAGCTGGTTCAAGAGTTATAACAGAAGATGAACTTGACTCAACAACCCTCAGAACTGCAGTTGAAGAAATTCTAGGTATAATCAGTTTACCACCCTGTAAGATCCTTGCTACAGTAGTTCAGAAGAAAAAATGTGAGTTATTTCACTCATGCAGTTGTTTTGATGGCTCTGACATATTTATGCTTCTCCTTCTGTCTTTTGAAGGTCATGTATGCGCAATCTATCAGAAAATCAGAACGTAGTTATTTTATCTAGTGTCTGCTCCTGTATATTTTTGTATATATTCGTCCAAATGCAGCTGTGTTCTTGCCAAAGAGAACCCTTAGTATAGTCCTAGCATATTTGTTCAGTAGCAATATTCCTTTGTGGACTGAATATCTTTGCTTCCATAGCGATCCATTTCCTTACTCCAACAGTGCTATACCACTGAATAGTGTACATACTTCGATATATGCAGACAATGAGAGCTTGATGGTAGAGATGTCTCAGAGGGCTCTCCAGGCTGCAAAGCCAAATGCCTCCATTGAAATTGCTCAATACATTCTTTCTGTTGTCAGTTCATCAAAGTGAACAAAATGAAGGTGAATCTGTGAAGGATGTGAAACTTAATGTTCAACAGTTCTGACAGAATCAAGGTGTGTCAACTTCAGAGACTGCCATTCTTTTGACCATTTAAAGTGATTAAGGATTCTTGAACCAATCAGATAGGTATCTCACTGGAGGTCAGAAGATTTGTCCCGAAGACTGATCTGCAAGTCTAAGTTTTGAGATGGTTGTTGAGTATTCCTGTTCGGTGAGACTCCTTGCTGTTGCTGGGCTCAATCTACCAATTTAGACACATTAGCAAAATTGTGGATCTTGCTTTGATGTTTTTCTTTTTCTTACCACGATGAGAGATACGTATACAGGAAGAATTTATTAATCATTTCAACTGATTCGTTTCTTATCATGCTTGGTTTTGTCCTGATTGACATTTTGCTTTAACTTCATGATTATTTTATTACATTGTATCTAATCATTGCTTTAACAACATAATACCTTTTTAATCATGGCTAATTAATTTGTGTGCATTGGATTAGATCCCAAAACTGGCAGCACTTCCAAAAGAAGAGAATTTAGAGGACTAACGAGAAAAAACCAGGTACAATGTATGAAAATTGAGTATATAATGAAGTATGGGTGGACGTGTTTGAGCTTTTCGACAAAGGAGGTCATAAGCCAAGAAGTTATTCAACAAGTTTCGTCCACCAAATGTACTAGGACACAATTGCTATAGAACTTGCCAAACTAACCCAGAACTTAGTATATTAATTATCTAAATTTGGTTTAAAATATTCTAACACAGGTTTTTTCTTTTTCTTTTTTTTTGACAATTTCTGAGGACATTTTTTTAAAGGCCTGGCCTTCTTTTATTTCTAAAATTTTCCAAAGATAAAGAAATAAAATACTTCTAAAATTGCTTTGCCTGTTTTGGTCCTTTCTTTTCTTGAATCTCTATTTAAGAAAGCTAGAACTTAACCTGTTATGTTTTCGTACTCATTAGGTATTTCATTAGCAGATTCAAGTACACCAAAGAAGTGCTTCAAAATATTACCACTGCCCAAGTGCCATGACAACGTTTGCAGAGACAAGTGCGTGAAAGTATTTGGAGTTTCACATGCATACTATTACTTAGTTTGTCTGCAGTTGTTTTCATTCAAATATTTCCTGCCAATGTGCATTTGATTGCCCCTATTCCACCTCCTACCAACAAACTGAAACAATTGACTACTTGATGATGCCTGTTTCAGTCTCCAGCCATAGTGAAGAACTTATTACTATGGATCATTAACCTAATTTATGATTTTCTAATGCTGAGGGTTCTTATTAATTTCTTTCATATTAGAACAGGAAGAAAACAATAATGTAATGTACATTATTACATTAAGCATCGACCCAATTGAGCTCATTGAAAACCAACGAGAACTAAACTATTATCAGATCACATGAGTGCACAGACGGTACACATATGATGGCAAATGATGGGAGACAAAGAGGCAAGGTTTAAACTCTTGACCTCCTATCCCATCGAGACTTTAAGTCTTAGGTGATGGCTAACAGCCCAAACAGCCGTTGGTTAATAGATAGTACTACATGATAAGCTACATTCTAAAAAATTAGAAACAAGGAGGTTTAACATCTCTACTTCTATTAAATGCAATTTAATTGCTAAAATTAAATGGAGAAATAACTGTCAGCCCTTTACCAAAAGATAGGTGTTATTTTCCCTTTTCTTCCTACCTTCAACAAATAAATTCACTTGTGTCAACAAGCAAGTTTAATAAAATTTTGTTTTGACTTAAAAAAAAAAAAAAGAAGTTAATTCCACTTCAAATTTTAGATAATGATTTGTACGCATGAAGAAAATGATTTATAGGTATGGTAGGCCATGTTGCGACCATGCACGTAATATCTCCAGAAGCAGTAATGTTGGCTGTCCCCCAAGCAACTCTACCTCTTTCTTGGAAAAAAAGACACTTTACTATTTTCTCCACAAATATCTACTAACTAATGAAGAACCAATGCACATTTAGATTTGAGAGAACTTGTAAAAAGACCCAATCATGAAACATGTTGGTTTTCTCCGATTGGAAGTGCGGTCGCAGACCCACTTCCCAGCCGGTAGCTCCAGACCTGATGCCCCTGTCATCGTGCATTCGGCGGCGAAACTTAACATGCGAGCTGTTAGCAGCATTGCCGGCGCCGGCGGAAAGGTTTCCGATAAGCCCTCCATTTGTACAGCTGACGAGCTCCACTACGTACCGGTGCCGGACTCCCATTGGCGCCTCGCTCTATGGCGCTACAGGCCCTCCTCCCCTGTGGTATGCATTTAAATTAACGTCCGTTTTCTTATTTGCCTTTCTGCACTTTTACGAAATTTAGTTTTGTGCTGGCTATCTTTTTCTTTGGTAGGGGATTAAGAGGAACCATCCCCTGTTATTGTTGTCTGGATTGGGAACAAATGCAATTGGCTATGATCTTGCTCCCGGGGTGAGTTTCCTTGATTTTTTTCTTGGCCTTTTTTTAGCTTTTTCTTTCTGTTTTAGCCTTCTTTGGGCTATTTTCACCTTGATTGCTCCTTTTTTTTTAAAATCCTTATTACAAAACTGCTGATACTTATTTGCATGAGTATGTAGACGTCTATTCCTCAGAAATCAACTTTAAAGTTGAATTGGTACCAGTTTTTGGCCATTCTATTGAATAACTTGGATTTATGTTCATTTTTTACCCCTGGTGACTATAGATGGATTTGTGGAAAACAAACATTTTTCAGTTTACTAGATCAAAGCTGACTCATTACCGTTCTTTCATTCTTGTTGCTCGTGAAAATTACTAGTACTTCAAGGGCAGAAAATTGGTTTGTCAACGCTTGGAATTGGATAAGAGTGTACACTAGAAATCAGAACAGCCATGCTAGCCATCTCCACAAGAAGCGCTCTATTATCCTGTATTTGTAGATTGGCATTTTGCTGAGCTTTGTCCTTTTACTGCCAAGCTAACTGCTAGCTGACCTTGTCATTGCATGTCATTGTATTGTTTTGGGCATCATGTATTTACATTCTTCGGGCATGAACTAACCTTATTGCAGTCTTCTTTTGCACGCTTCATGTCCGTTCAAGGATTTGATACTTGGATTCTAGAAGTCCGAGGTGCAGGCTTGAGTGAAAATGATGGTATCCATGAATTAATACCTGCGCTTCAATGCTACTTTTTATCAAGCTGCTTCAAGTATAAACATTACGCAAAGAACCAATCATCCAAAGAAATCATATGGTTAACTTTCCCAGCTAATTTTTTATCCAAGTTGCTTAAGTTATAAACATTTCGCAAAGAATTACTGGCAAATATTAATTCCCATGCTTCTGAAAAATCCAGAAATTTTGTTCACTTTAAGTACAGAAATCAGAAGCAGTGAATAGATCTGATGATTTTCTCCTAAGGGAGAAACTGAAGGATGCTTTTGTGCATATAGCTGAAGGATTCTCTAACTTGCTGAATGAAGGTGAGGCGGTTGTGTGCTTTAGGTGTTTGAATGAAACATAGAAGTGCAGAATATAGATACTAAATTATCAAACTTATTAAAGATGCTCAGTAGTTTGAAACCAATTGCACTTGGCAACCTATCAGGCTTAGCACGAGCTAGACAAGATTCTGCTGCAAACCAAGTAAGGAATTGGAGCCAAAAGCTTGGAAAATTCTTTGCAGGTGGTCAAAAATCAGTTGGTCTGCAGGAGCAGTTTTCTTTGCTGATGGATGACTTTCAGAAACAGCTTGATCTCATTCTCAAGTACAATTGGGACGTTGATCACTATCTGGAGGAGGATGTGCCTGCTGCGGTGAGGTGACATTTCCCCATTAGTGATGAGTTTAGACCTCATACAAACTCTCTTCTTCTGTTTAAGTTATATTTCTATTTAGTACTTATCTTGATTTTAAATATTTTATATGTGCAAATTCAGGAGAATCTTGATATTGGATAATATTGTATGCGTAAATTCAAGTTAAAGTTTCTATTAATGCAGATGGAGTATGTAAGGACCCAATGTAAACCAAAGGATGATAGGTTGCTTGCAATTGGCCACTCCATGGGAGGCATCCTGTTATATGCAATGCTTTCTCAGAATGGTATGATTTTATGATTATTTCCTCAATCTTTTTCCTGTCCATACCGTTAAGAGATATTGATGCAATTGTTAAGTTTACTTTTGAGGACTTTGTTCTGCTGATTTTCAGCTTCAACGGAATATAATTGCTCCTGTGTGCTGTCATGATTGTTATTCTTTGGTAGTATTTAGCACATTTTGGCCCCTCAATTTACCTTAATTCAAAAGGTCATGGATGTGATATGTTAAACTCAAATGTGATGGCATAAAGTGGGAGAGTTGAAGGTCCAAAACGCAAATGCTCCAGTGAAACTCTTTTCTGTATCCATCCATCTATTTATGTGTAGAAATTGCTCACTTGACTACAAAAAGAGAAGAAAGGAAAGCATGAAAGAAAGAATCCTTTTTTAACTTTTCTAACAGACGGGTTGATCTTAGGAGGTTGAAGTTCAATATTCAAGCCCTAATTTGACGTCAAGAGATGACTAAAGAGAAAGGAATACACGGAGCCATTTAGCAATATTAGACACTGAAAGTTCTCATCGCAACACTTTTGAACATTCTTCATATAATGCACACCTTATCTGATTTTCCAGAATTTTGATCTCTTGGCTTTTCAACATGGACATTGCAAACCCGGTTCATAGATCTAAAGATATCCTCTGTAGTCTGCTAGTATTTTATCAAATTACGTTGTTAAATAAGCAATATTTATTCACTCCCGAAGGTTACAAAGGACGGCACTCTGAGTTGGCATCAATTGTCACGCTGGGATCATCTCTTGATTACTCTACTTCAAGATCATCGCTTAGACTACTGTTGCCCCTAGTAAGTCAAAAGAAACATATCCTGCTTCTTCCTACTTCTAAATTTCTCAAGGGTGGCTTCTTTGTGCATTCATCAAACCTTACGAGACGATGGTCTTCTTTCACAGGTAGATCCTGCACAAGCTTTGAGTGTCCCTGTTGTTCCATTAGGAGCATTCATGGCAGCTGCTTTTCCTCTTGCATCTCGTCCTCCATACTTTTTGTCCTGGTTAAACCCACAGGTTTCTGCACAAAACATGATGCGACCAGAGATGCTTGAAAAGCTTGTCTTGAACAATTTCTGTAAGTATGAGAGCATTTTTCTTCTCTCACAACTATTCAGGGGATAATTTATTGAAATCAAACTCGTTATTTGGTGATTGAATGCTGGAAAAAGTTAGCTGACCTTGGCATGATTTCTTCTCTAACACTCTACTTAGGAGCAGCCTTCAAACTTGAGCATTAAGGAAATGAAGTGGCTTCGTGCCTTTGCAAGTGCTTCTGAACTAGTTTGTAATGCCAATCGTTTCCTGTCAAAGCAAAATTAACACCTACAGCTAGTTTTATGTCAACTTGTTTGCAACACTGTAGGCCATTGCACTTAACCCCTTGGAGTTGAAATCCTGTGCAGCCCTTCTACCAAATATTTCTTCTGCTAGTATTTTATTGCACTTATTCTTAATATCATTGTGCTATCATACGCTTTAAAGCTGTGTATGATATGCAGGCACTATACCTGCTAATCTTCTCGTGCAATTAAGAACAGTATTCCAAGAGGGTGGACTACGTAATAGGAACGAAACTTTCATTTACAAGCATCATCTGAACAAGAGCAAGGTTCCCATTTTGGCACTTGCGGGAGACCAAGACCTCATATGTCCTCCTGAAGCTGTATTTACGGTAGAAACTCACTACACTTATCTGTAGGTATTATAGAAGATTGTATCAACCTATTCTTTATGTTCTCTCCATCTCTTTTCACGTTGACTAGAAACTGTAAAGCTAGTTCCGGGAAGTTTTGTGAAATTCAAAGTTCTTGGAGAGCCGAGAGGTCCACACTATGCTCACTATGATCTAGTTGGGGGTCGCTTGGTATGTGTCCATTCTGTAACCTTCCAATTTGCAGATTTATGGTTCCTCAATGCAATTCATTATTGGAGCAAATTTCCAACTGCAGGCACCAAAAGAAGTTTACCCATGCATTGTAGAATTTCTTCAGCATCACGATCTGACTTGAAATCTTCGGGAGACCACAGAGTGCATATGATATCTGTCTCTGTTGATAAAGAGGGTAGCCAAATGAAGAATTGCGCCAGAAATTCTGTACAAAAGTGCTGGCCAATTACATAAATCTGAAAATGTACTGATATCTTGTAATGAAGAATTGCTGGTGTCTATGTCCATCAACCTGTTCTACTTCAACTGCTTTTCCTTCCAACTTGCAGTAGTCTTTTTTGGCTGTGTTATAGCAATGTTTCTGGGGAAAAGTATGATAACCAAACAAACACTCGATCTTCAGCATTCTAATTGTTCCAGAATCCATTAATTCACTTTCAATTAAGGACTTCAAGCCTGAAGCTCTCAAGTACCCAAAAAGCACCGAGTTTTGGTTCACTGAATCTACAGAATGACACTGTATGTCCATCTAAAACACCGAGTTTTGGAGGCATATGGAAGAAAATTTATAACATTTGTAATGCAAGACTATTGAAAGCTCAAGTCATGCTCTCTGAATTTCATAACCACAATCTTACATGATGATGAGGTTGCTGAAAACAAAAAGCTCATCAATTCGCTGAGCATATAGAATTGAGATACCACCTCAAAGAATAACTTTGATTTTCAACATAATGAATTCTATACAATGAAAACATTAACCGTCTGCAAGCTTCATCTAATCTAACCACGTGAAACAGCCTCAGTCTTACAAATAGGACAGGCATTTTTTTGGGTAAGCCACTTCTTTATGCATTGAATGTGAAATTGATGTCCGCAGTTCAGCTTGCCCATCTCATCATCAGCATCATATTCCTCCTATACAAGAAACACAGAAGCAAAATTTACGAAAATAAACAAAGAAGCAGCCGATGGATGAAACTCAAAATCAAGAACTACGGTAACAATATTTTTGCAAAACAAACCTGACAGACACTGCACTTCTTTTCCACTTCTATGATCAAACTGGACCGCAAATTATCCGTAACAGGGTTTCTCGTTCTCCTCAGACAATGAGTTATATCATCTTCTCTCAATCCTGTGCTTACATACCCAATTCTATCACCAAGTTCCAGCAATTCCTGTTTATCCCGGGCCAAGATTGTATATGTGTCAGATGCTATATAAAAGTGAAAGCAAAACCAATCAAAACAAGCGCAATATTCATGATAAACTCTCTCACCTCGTACGACATACTATCAATATCAAGTCTCCAATCCCTAAATCGATCTGCACCTTCTGATCTTCCTCCCATCAGAAGATTACTTTGTAGCATCACAATCTGTATTTAGACATTTAGACTTCAGCTATTACTCGTACACTCAACAGAGACTATAAAACTAGCTGATGATTTGCGTGTTAAACTTAGAACTTCGAATTTATTGCATACAGGGACACGACTTTTTCAAGAAACAGCATCCCATAGAACTTGTGACATCTATATTTATGGAATCAAATCCAACATTAATTCTACCACCTATCAAATACCATCCTTTCTTTTTGGAATCTCATACAATTAAATGATACACTCAAACTTTTAATCAGAAGCGTAGAATTAAGCAAGGGGACCCACATGACTAATTAATCGTGTGGCAGCTTACAAGAGTTGCGGGCCATATCATGAACCTTGGTGTAGGCAAGTTTTTACCTCTTTTAGATCATATAAAGGTAAGTAACCAAAAGGATTCCCAGTCTCCTCGATTGAATTGTGGTTCTCAACTAGTCAATTTTGGACCAATCCTACATATCATGGTTTAAATTATTCTAGAATTTTATTGAATTCCATGTATGGACTGGTTATGCCAAAAACTGTACATGAATTTTGCTAATTCTAACGTTTCCAAATGTCAAAAGGAATGACAGACAAAATATAAGGGATTGTAGGGAGAATAATTGCAAAATAATAATGATAATTGGACCATAGGTTCTTTTGTGCAAGTTAACGTGACACATCACAAAACAAGTTGCACTATTTACATAGAGAATAGGAAAGGAGCCTGAGTGTTGTACAGAAACCATTCATCTATTATATAGTAATTGGGTATGATTTTGCGCTTTCTGTGGATTAGGATTCTTCAATGTATACTGTCTTCAAATAATGATTTAATTGCAAGGAGAAAGCTTTTTGCCATTTTATCTACATAGCTTGCAGTAGAAGCTTCGAGGGAAAAACATATTGAAGCATTTTTTCCATCTTAGGATTCACTAGTTTTCAACTCTTGGACTTGATTTTTAAGTGGCAAGACTGCATTATTGCAATAATGCCAAAACTACACATCTCAGAGGATTTGGCAACTGCAGTCATGGTGGACAACCTAACCTACGATGCCAAAACGATAATGGGCTCATAGAGCTTTGCCTGAAGTGTGACATTTTGACATTCACATGCTCAGTGGCTCTAATCCAAAGTAAGGTTGTCCTCTGCAACCTTGCATATCAGAAGTCCTGTAGTAAAAGTGTATATAGCTTTATCGCACTAATGAATAAATTCCTCACGGGCAAGCGATGTGCCAAGTATAGATGGTAACGGTAGAGGCATTATATGCAAGAACGCTAATCAAGACTGCAGAAGCATGCAACCTCAAGGATCAGTCAGTAAGGCCTCTCTATCCAAATGGAATTTGATCTGCTTCAGAGTTGAAATGTCATGGTGCAAGATATTGAGGGAAGCATTAAAACAGATTTTGTGCTCAACACGGAAAAGACTAAGCAAGGAAACAAAGCATAGACAAACCTCAGCAAGCCCTTCTGGGAAACCATGCCGAGCATGGCGATGATGCCTCGATCCAAATGCATCTAACCGAGAGCGTGGGATGGAAAATGTAGCATCAGAATCAAGAAAAGGGATCTCCTCAGGGGTCACCATCCTCCTTACAGAATATGAAGGACGCTGGCAAAAAGCAGAGTCAGTTCAAGAATACAAAAGAAAGAAAGTCCATTACAAATTCCAAACCACTCAAAACAGTAAGGTCCCACGAGAAGGAAGGAAACTAAAGGTACAAGCCACGAAAAAGGAATCCAAAGATTGACAGTGAATAAGGAATATTTGACAACTGCAATGAGGGGAAAGACCATCAAGTGGAAAAATGCAGTAGCCATAAATTAAAAATTTAGATGCAAAACTAAACATTGACTAACTCGTTGGTGCAGATTGCAAAAGCAATATAGAGTACATAGTAAGGTGATTACCACACGACATGAAAAGCTATCTTTCTGAAATAATTCAAATGGCCTAAAATTACAGACTCCTACAACATAAGAAATTGAAAGAAAAATAACCTAGCCATCCAAAAACAGACCAGTGGAAACAATTACTCAGCCCGAATGGAGGGCCGGAAAAAATGCCTCTTCAAACTAATTAACTAATCCTCCCAAGATTCAATTTTTCTTAAACAAATCCCAGAGTTTAGCTATCATCCTTGACAAAGACATGTCAAGGCACATAAACAAAGTACAAATAAAACATGGGAACCACGTATTATCACAAACCAAGACCAAACGAAGCAGCAAATGGAAACAAAAAATGCACAAGCCCAATTCCTAAGCAAACAAAAGTGCTATCTTGGATACAATTTCTTTTCAGAAAGAAAACAAGAAGAATAAGGCAATTTGCCACAGAAGCCAAAGATTACCTCCCTATGGCTCGTCTTTTCAACATCAACTTTTCCTCTCCCAGTGACAGGCCTTCTTGAAACAACACAATCCACAGAAGCAGCATCAGTGGTTAACCCCATTCCAGGGCCACACCAAACATCAGGTACAGCCACACAACTCGAAGATAATGATAATGATAAAGGATTGGTATTGTTGTTGTTATTATTATTATTATTATGATTACTATTGCTGGTGTTAGTATTAGTCAAAGATGCCGTTGAATTAATATTTGTTCCGCCCAAAACGACAGCTGCAGCTGCAGCTGCTGAAGAACTGTGGTCCTTGTTTTTCTTGCTCTTCTGCTTTTTCTTCTTGACTTTCTTGGGGTCCCAATCAGCTGATGTTCTGATAACAGCAGGAACTGAGACTTGTGATGATGCAGTACAGCCCAATCCCCTGAAAGTTCCTGATGAAAAGTTCTTCTTTTTATGAGAGGCTGATGTGTGATGGTCATTGGTGGGGAAAAGTAGAGAGGAAATGGTTGATTTTGAGCGATTTGAGTCGACAAGTGAAGGGATTGGATCTGTTTCTGAGATGGGTTGGTGTTGATTTTGGCTGAAGTTAAGGTTTCTTGATCTTCTATATCTACCGGTATCGCCAATTGCTGAACTTTCTGGTATCACCATTGGCATGGCTGTGTAGGGAGGAAGAAAAGGATAGACAGCACACCAGTTTGAAATGATCTCTAGATAGAGACAGAGGAAGAGGGCCACTTTTGTTTTGATGAAGAAATTGAAAGAACAGAAAAAATTTTATATCTCTCCCCCCCAATAGGAGCCTGTTTCTCGAATGCGTGTAGCGTGCGTGATTTGAAAGGGCTTTTGTGCGTGAGAAAGAGGAGAAATGTTAAAGGGAATGAGCTGCAGTAGAAAGTGAGAAGTTTGTGAGATGAGAAAGCAAGAAAAATGGATGCTCAAATAGTGGAGGAGGAATGGAATTAGAAGCAGGAGGGAATACGGGAAAAGCCGGCTTTTGAAGTGTCTTCGCAGAGTCCATTTATCGAAACACTCATACAAAAAACTGTGAGTTATGAAAGGGAAAAACCTGTCTCGGGGAGTCTGGGGGGTCTTTATCTCTTAGCAGCGGGGCACCCTGTGGGGTTAAGTTCCCACATCGCTTGGGGGGGGTTTGGGGGGTTTAGTAGTTAAGTGCTGCGGAGCACTTCAAAAGTTGCCGGCTTTTGAAGTGTCTTCGCAGAGTCCATTTATCGAAACACTCATACAAAAAACTGTGAGTTATGAAAGGGAAAAACCTGTCTCGGGGAGTCTGGGGGGTCTTTATCTCTTAGCAGCGGGGCACCCTGTGGGGTTAAGTTCCCACATCGCTTGGGGGGGTTTGGGGGGTTTAGTAGTTAAGTGCTGCGGAGCACTTCAAAAGTTGCCGGCTTTTGAAGTGTCTTCGCAGAGTCCATTTATCGAAACACTCATACAAAAAACTGTGAGTTATGAAAGGGGATGGGGAGGTGGAGTAAAGAATTGGAATTTGTTTGGAGATATGGGATTTCTCTTTATTTGATTAGAGTTGAATTTGGTAAAGGTGCAGAGAAGGATGAGCACATTTCTTTTCTTTATAGATTGGAAACGTCATAAGTGGGCTCAGTTTTGTCTTCTTGTTGGCAGTGTGGGCGACTGAACGACTTAAATAGTGGCCATATATGGCTGCAGAGGTGAGAGGCCTGCAGGCAGGCTGCAGTCCTTAGGTCCTTAGGTCTGAATTCCTGCAATGTACGTCTATTTTTTTACTAGAAATTTGCTTTTGCTTTAGCATATAGCTTAATGATTTAAATTAGAAGGAAAATACTACACTTTAACAAAATGATAAAGACCTGTATCCCTCCCTCCTCTTTATTTGGATTCTGTCTCTTTTCCATACCATACATGTACCAAGTAATTCTCTTGTTCCTTGTGATTTAAATTTTGAAGTTTCTTCCTTTTTCCCGACAAGTCAACCCCATCTAGGTGCATTTGAACTTAAACTTGGAACCTGAATAATCGAACTGAATGTCAAACGATGATCAATTCTAGCTAATTGGATTAAGAGCACACGATAATTAATGTGTTTGATAAAATCCATTAGACTGTCTCAGTTGGGAGGAGAGCCTGCTGCAAATTCGCATCTTTTGTCACATGAGGAAGAAGAAGAGTCAACAATCATGACAAGGGTAAGTACTTAATGCACCATGATATCATCCTCGCAGTTTGTTAGGGAAAGAACAGATTTAATCATGCGAGGAAAGTCTGTATTGACTCTTGGGATGTCTTCAATGGAAAGCATCAAACAAGCAGAAAGGGAGGGTCCAATGAGGCCATGACTCCTGCGTAGTCTTTGGACTGTCATTCTTCTGAGTAATTCCAGCTCTTTTTGCCTTTAGTCGTATTTGAGGACCTTGCTGCCAGATAAGAGTACATTAAATGATGGTTGGAATGCATTGATGGGATTGTTGCCAATTGTTCATACATGAACATGATACATCACTCCAATTTTCCTTCATGCCCACTGCTCTATACTACTGGCTATTTCCTACTTTTATCAAATGACGGTGATATGTGAGCAGTAAAATTTTACTAGTAAAGTGAATTATTTTCCATTATGGACAAGAATGTTTCAACACAAAGCCCTGTTTGACAATTGAATTTTTTTTTATGTTTGTCTGAAATTTTACTGTAACTTATTGTAGAAGTTGTAGAAAAATGTTTTGAAGTATGTAAATTTTTTAATATTTTGAAGTGTATAGTTTAAAATTTTTAAGAAGTTTTTAAGGTTACCGTGGTTAAAGTTATTAAAAAACTTGTAGCAGATAAACTTGACCAAAAACTTGCTTGCCAAACAACGCCAAAATCTTCCTCCCTTGAGACTTTAGAGAAATGCAGGTTTAGTCATGTACATCTCACTATCCAAACAAACTCAAACTTGTGTTTTTGGTGGAAAGAAGATAATGATGATTGATGTAAATTTCTTTTTCTTTCAATTGATGCGGTCGTAAGTATGAAGTACTAGTAATTAAAGGTGATGCATCTTTAGTTTGGACCACAAAACTTTCTTCTCATACGCGTTAGTGCAACATGTAAATGCAATTTTGAGATTTTTTTTTTCTTTTTTACTATAATTATGTGAAAAGTAAAGTTCAAAAACGTGTAGAACTAAGGTGCAACTTTAGTTGCAGAAAGAACTTGCCCTAATGTTGAGGCTTCTAACGGTGGAAGTCGGACATATATTATTATTTTCTCATGCATGGCGACATTGTACTTTAGGTTTGTGCCATGACCAGTCATATTGCAGCTTAGACCGTACTTCTGACTTTTTGTACTTTGATCCAAAATTGAGTGATGTCTTTGAGTGAATAAATATGAAACATTGATCATTTAGTGTACCTAGATAGGGAAAATGTATTTATGAGTGAATAATTTCTATAACATTTTTTGCGATATGAGTGAATAATTTCTATAACATTTTTTGCGATATGATGTACATGAAGTAAAAAGATGATTGAAAAGATTAAAAAAATTGTGTTGAAAAATGTATTTATGATGCACGTAATAATTTTTTAGCAGATAATTCCTATCCAAACACACTTGAATTCATTTATTCTTGAAAAGGACCAAAAAAAAAAACACTACATAATTGGGTAGAGGGAAGGATGGCCTTCTTTCATTTATTCTTCTAGTGTACGTACAATAAAGAACCGGCAAAGCAATAATAAGAAAATGGGGCTCAAAACATTATTGATCATGTTGGATTCATTAATTTGGATGGAGCCATTTAAATTCGTTTATTTATGCCTGTAAAGCTAATTAGACAAGTACTAGTATCCAAGGCATTGCCTTCTTTTTTTCCTCATTCATAAAATAGACAAAAAAGTTTCTTAAGACATTCTTTTGCATAATGTTGAGTGGCACAAAGGGGACACACAAAAATCCGAAAGAGAAGTGTGCAAGTTACCTCCACAAAAACAAAACTGATACTACTGATACTCCCATCCCATGCATTATTGTTTTAGGGATTAAGAACCCGACCCTGTAATTATTGTTCTTTATCCATTGCTTTACGTTAGCAGAAGGAATAAAGTTATGCTTATTAGAAACAAGAAGATTATACATGTCTCAGTTCACTTTCAAAATAATTACACTTCTTTCTGATTTAGTACCCTCTAACTCACTTGCAAAGATATTTCCCAAATTGTTGCCTGGCACTTTTTCTAGTGTGTATTCTGTCTTTCATCAAAGCAAAGCTTCTCATTATGTGATAGAAAATCCAAGATCGAGGTATCCCACACGCTTCACATCTTTTGTTCCGTAGAAGAAAATTTTGTAGCCCAAAAAAAAAAAAAGGTGGGGGATTTTTAAGACCCTTTTATTTGCATTGTTTTGGTTATAGATTGGTTTGAAACTCTTCGGCCATGCTTGGATTACTTGTTTTCGTCGAAAAATATTGTCGTTTTTCGTAATCACATTTCCCTATCACCTTTTTCTCTCACATATATCAAATCGTTACAGTAATTTTTCCTTGAAAAATGACGAAAAATGCAATCTAAACACAACCGAAATCTTTTTTTAAACTTTTGACAAAGAAAACAACCAAACGGTGAAAGTGAAAGTGAAAGTGATTTTATTGACAAATGTGAAACTACAAAAAGAAGAGAAGCTGATTGGTACTTTTCATTTGGTAGCAAAGCTGACGGAGTTAACCATTATTGGTGCTTTTTGACCATTCTTTTTTTTATTTTGGTGATGACAATAATCATATTTTCACTGCTCCCAAAAATGTTTTTTTTTTCCCTTCTTCTTTTTCTAACTTGTCAACACCATAGCTGTAAAAAATTAATCGAGCACTGTGTTATCTTATACTACTATTCTTCGTCGCGATTAGCTTAGAAAGGACAACTGCTTTTGGATTTGTTAGGAATAATTATACTTAAGTAGAAGATTAGAAGAGACATGCATGCTAATCTAAGCTGTGAGCCCGTCTGATAGTTACCTTGGAAGAGAAGTTCTTAGAAAGAAAGCTCGCGTAGAAGTTTTCTATCACAGTTATCGGTATTCTTTTCACTCTATGCTATGCTATGTAGTTTGTTCCACCGTTTTTGCTAGCAATTAGGTGGATTACTAACATACTGAGAAGATAGATGTCAGCATCTTTCCAAATCGTAAATTCAAGAATCGATGACAAAAAATACATCAAACAAATATGACACTAATACAAATAGATTTGAAATCAATAGCAGATTTGTTTAAATGAAATGATCTTTTCTATACATATATAAAAAAAGAATCCATTAATTAAGGATCATCATAGGAATATCAGTGGAATTTGGATTTTGGAGGTGAATTTCTAACCCATTAGGAAACTTTATTAGAACGTCTCTTCATTGCTTATGATGCTAACTAATACAACAGTGAGAGGTGAGACTGTGGGTGATAATCATGACAGGGTTTCATGTGATATTACAGTTGTATCAAATTCATGATAGATGATGCATTCAAATGTGACTGCTGGCTCTTCGGCTCAATCCATTCAATTTGGCTAGCAATGGAATGATCGAATTCGACCGCTTGATGTGTCATAATTAATTTTAATGTGTCTACCTTCTGTAGACTACGTGTGATTAGAAAAAAAGGTCATCTTTTCCAAAAAAGAGCACCGTTCCTGATGATAATGATAATAACATTTCGGTTCCACACAACTGTATCCCTTTTAGCTTCGTTCGGGGTTGCGGTGTTTTTGATAAAAAGTACTTTTAATTATTAAAAGTATTTTTAAAACGTTTGGTGAATTTTATCCCATAAAATTAGAAATAGAATTTTTGATGTTAAAAGCATTCTTTTAGAGCAGCTTTTGTGATTTAAAAAAATAAAATATTAAATTTAATTATTTAATCTTATATTATAAACTAAATAATGAGATAAATACATTTAAAAATTTTCAAATCACACGCTATTCAATACAATAAGTACTTATTGAACTATATCTCCATACAGTATG